CCTTGAGGTGGGTTCGCAGTACTGGACTAAGCCTTATGATGGGGTGGCTGCCTCGTGAGTGAAATAAAGTTGCGTGCTGAGATGTGAGCGGCTTTCACGGTGAAATACAGCCCAGAGTGCTCTGTCAGCCCAGCACCGGCCAGGCTGCCTGCCGTGCTCCGCTGTTTGTTCACAACGACTGCTCAAAACCTGAAGAGAAACTATGTTACTTTTGCTCAAACCAAACCTGCTTCCTAGGAAAAGGACGAAAACCAGGCAAAAACTGGCTTAAGTGACAGAAAAAGTATTAAGTTAGCTGTTTGTATATAGAGGAGCTTCAATTTATCTAATGGTAAGTTAGATTTATGATAGTTTCTAGCCCCTCATAATGGTCCAGTTTACATCTAACGATAAGTTGAGGTTATACTGCCTAAAAATAACTTACTTTCCCTTGAACAGCTATTCTTAGAATGTCCCATCTTCGTGTCTCCTAAAACTTGTGGCATCTCATTTACGGAGCACGAGATGTCAGGGATGTTTATTTTGGGCTGTTGGACGGGAGGTGGGTCTGGGCTGCCCTTAGCTGAGCAAAGGCTGCTCGGGAGAAAAGCTGCTGCTCCAGCACCTTGCGTGTGGTTTTGCTGTAGGCTGATGAAGGTTAGGGTGCTGTGTGGACCTCTCTGCGTGCTCCTCTCTCACCTCTGTAGAGATAAAGGCTTTCTCTCCAGTTTTGAGTATTATATGGTAGGACATTGGTGTTGCCTCTGTTTTGTGCCTGGGATGATGCATTCAGTGTCAGTTCTGTGCTGCGGAAAAGCACGCTTGAGCTTTGAGTGAGGAACACCAGAAAGGAAGAGCCAGGATTGTAAAAAAGTGCTAATTAACCTCGCTCAGGGAGAAGGGAGGCTGACTGCTTGTACTGGTTGCTGGCATCGTGCTGGAAGAGTTACCCTGGCAGCTTGGTGGTGGGATAGCTTCCTAGGAGGCTGTGGTGACAGGACTGTATGTCTAGAGAGGCAGTTCCCAGCCCCTTGTAATAGTCCAATTTACATATTAGCCTGTGAAAAGCATCTGGGAACTCTCTGGATTATCATCCCTATAAAAGGGAAGGAAAGCTTTGGGTTGCAGGACAATAGAGCTGCCAGGCTGTATTGAGTCAGTCGCAGGGTCCGGCGTTTCAGTAGCACTGGGTGCTGAACGCCCAGCAGAAGGCACTGGAGTTACTGCAGCAAACTGCAGTGCAGCTTCCTCTGCTTTGGGGAGGCTTCTCTTCCTTATTCCTGGTTGTCCAACTTAGGTTTTGCAGCAACTGGCTTCAGATTTATCTGCTAATGTAACTTGAAATGTCCTTTTTTGGTGTATCTGGTACTATTTTTTTCCCCTTTCCGGTCCTGGTAGGATTTAGAGTAACACCTGTACCTTATGGAGCTCCAGCAGTGGATTGTGACAAGGTGTTGTCTCAAGTTGACCAGGGGCTTATCTAATTACATTGCAAGGTGGGAAGAAAGAGCAGATCTTCTCTGCACCTGCCTTCTGTCCGTCCCCTCCTGCTCCCCCAAACTCCCCCTCTCTCTCCTTCTGACCTCTAATTCCTCTTCTTGGAGCTCTGCTGCCTCTCCTATGCCTGGGAGGACCCTGTATCCCGGTGGTGGGTGCTGTTATTCTATTGCCTGGTGACCATCTGTCTGTGCTGGGCTGATGCTCTAAAAATAAGAGGCTCTTTTGGTTAGGTTGTAATTATGAAGTGCTCCCTACGACGTGCTTTGGCTGCCGAGTTTCACGTAGTGAAGGTCTTGCTGGGGTTGCTTCTCTCCAGCCTTATCCAGCCTAAATGGTTTTGGCAAGAAATTAACAGCTACGTTGAGGAAAAAGACGTTGAGCACATGGATGATGGAATCGTGTCAGCATTTTAAAGCTAATTTGGATTGGAGTGAGGTGTGAAGTTATTCCGAAATACCTATTGCACTTGCTGTTGGATCAGTCTTATTCTGGGATAGGCATGCTTGTTCCAATTTAGCTTAATCCTTTTTCAAAGCTAACTAATCTAAACCAGGCCAAGGCACTCTTCTGGAACGTGCCAAAGTGTAGTTACTCAAAAGAAACCTAATGTGCAGAGCAGCCCGTCGTGGATACGGCCGTGCTGCTCCGTAAGGCGGCACGGCTGCGTGGCGTGCTTAGGTCCGTGAGGGGAGCAGCCCTAGAAGGGGAATGAAGGTTTTAGTTAGGCAGCCACTTTGAGGGAATTTGGGCTGGTTTTGGAAGCAGGAGGACCGGATCCTTGCCCTTTCTCGCACCAGCGGCAGAGTGAACCCTGCGAACCAGGTGAAAGCTGATCCCGCAGAAGCGGGGTGAGGGTTCCCCGGCTGGCTGGCTGCGGAGATCTGCCACCGCTGGTGTCGACATGGACGGTGATGGATGTGGGGAGAGCCGGGTTATGCTTTCAGTCCATGCTGTGGTTAGGTAGGATTACAGCCTGCAGCCACGGTCTGGTAAAGGCACGCAGTGCCTGATAATTAGGGAATGTCCTTGTTAATGAGAAGACATTTCTGCACCTCGCTTCTGGTGGAAGAGTGTCCCAGTGGAGAGAAGGAATTTTGCCTTCTGTCTTTAAAGAAAAGGTTGAGATAATGGTGGTCCTGCCATCAAAATCGTGACTGGGTGTTTTAAAATGCCCCCAGGGAGAGGGCAGCAGGCCTTGGGCTGAGGCTGCTTGGCTCGCAGAAGCATTGCGGTGGGCGTATCGGGGTGATAAATCACTGGTGGGAGCCCGCTCCCGAGCTGAGCTGATAGGTGGAGAAACGAGATGCTTTTCAGTGAACTGCTGCTTTGCAGTAAATCCCGTGTGTGGAGCTCGGAGGATCCATAGGGATTTGAAAAGCGGATGCCGTGAGCTCATCTGACTGAGAAGGACCCTCAGGAGTTCAGTCGTGACAACTTCCGTCTCCCCACTGGCCGTTTCAAGAAACGTGGTGTGTGAAACCGCGGCGCCGATGCCCTCCCTCTCCTGTCGTGACTATTCATTCCCTTCTGGGAGGGGGAGAGAGAAGGGGGTCGGAGCTGAGGGTGCTGACGCTGAAAGAATCTGGACTTTGCACGGTAAAGAGCTGGGAAGTGCAGAAGCGGACAGGAGTAGCTGGGAAACATGATGCCCGGAGCTGCAACTCGTGAACCGACTGGGAGGGTGAGGGGAGAATGCAGATGACGCATTTGATTTTTAAAAAAGTGGATAGTGTTGACAGAAACTCTATCTTGATGAAGGGCGGTAGGAAAGCATTCGATTCCAGCCGTGGCTTCAGCTCGGTTACCGTTGGTTTTGGCTCCAATTCCTCTGTTTGCCTTCTTTGGGTCCTACCCTGACATCTTCGCGGTCGTGTAGCTGATGCCTCCCTAATGACATTCTTCCCTTTAACTGTCACACTTGGGTGCTGGGCACCCGAAGGCTTCTGGGTGCAGCCATCCTCGGGAGGGAGGGCCACTGCCTGTGAGCAGCAGCGATAGCTCCTAAACCCTGCTTTGATTTACTCGTGGGCTTTTTCTTCTTTATCATAGAAGGGTTTGGGTCGGGAGGGACCTCAAAGCCCCCCCAGTGCCACCCCCTGCCATGGGCAGGGACACCTTCCATAGCCCAGGTTGCTCCAAGCCT